GGTTCCCGGCCTTCGTGGGCTCCGTGACCAAGCTGGGCCTCACGACGGTGGAGAATCCTACTACGACAGCGGGGCCTCCCTCCGCGCTGGGCCCCGCCACTCTGATGCTCACGACCACGGAGGGCGCCGTCACCCTCAAACCCACCAGCACAGAAGGTCTCTTCATCAAGGAGAGACCGAGTCCCACCATTCCTTTGGGGGCTCCTACCACCAGGGCTCACCTCGCTACCGCGACGAGAGCCAAGACAAGAGCCACCCCAGAGAGCGCCATCGTGGCAGCTCCCAAGTCTCTGGCTCGCTCGAGTCGCACAGCATGGGCAGGGTCGCCTCGGCGCCTTCTGGTGCAGCGGCCAGCCAGCCCAGTGCGGCACGCATACAGAGCGTGGCCCTCGTGGCCCTCGGCCTGACTCCTTCCCACAGTGCACGGTCCCCACATACCACCCAGAGCTCCGGCGAAGACTTTCCTCGGGTTCCCTCCTCTGAAACCGCGGAAAACTGGGATGAAGACGACGAGGAATTTCAGAGGCACAGAGGTGAGTCGTTGCACCCCCTCACCCCCAACTCCCACTGCCTGACCCAGATTCCAGACCCAACTCAGGCCCTGCACAGAGCTTCCGAGCTTCCGTAGAACCTGAGGCTTGACTCTCACCTGCACGTGTATTCCATTGGCTGTTCACTCACCTGACCGTTCTTCGTCAGTCTTTCATTCCCTGAATTATGCAACTCTTGAGGCCATTGGTTGTTCTTTCAGTCACGGCTTTATTCATCCTCATGTTGGGTCTTGTCTAATATGGGCGCCTGGACTGCCTGGGCCCTGGCAGCACAGGGAAGACCAACCCTGCCCGCAAGGGGCTCCTAGCTGAGGGAGTCACTTAACCAACCAATCCCAGACCACCCACTGACAGGGCCCTCTCCTCCATGTCAGAACATTTTCTGCTGTGGATTCTGTGTGCCCACATTTCTCACACTAAACTGTGAGCTTCTTGAGGACAGTGACTGAGAACAAGTGCCTGGATGAGGGCCTCGTTTGAAGGCTATTAATGCACAACTCCCCAAACCTGGCCCCTAGTAGTTCAATAAACAGGGCAAGAGTCTCACGAACAAGTGAGAAAGGTCAGTGTCTGATTAGATGGAGTAGGGAGGGTAGCGAAGAGATGTCTTAGCAAAATCTTAAAGGGAGAAGGAGAATAAAGAAAGGCATGGAGGTTTAGGGGTGTAGGCCCTCACAGTCTTCTCAAGCAGACCCCAAATCCCAAACAGCCTGGCATCTGCCATGGAAAGGGTCAGGCCTGTGGTCCTAATAACAGCACAGGACTAACATAGAGGCACCTTAGCGAGTGAATGGCAGGCAACAGGCAGGCACGAAGATAAACTCCAATCCAGCCTGAGAGGGGATGCTGGATCCCCATGCCCCCCTCCCACACAGACGTGACTTTCTGGCTCCCTTACAGCCAGTCGAAGCCAGCGGCCCCACAAGAAGCCGCACAACGTGGACTTCTTCAGCCGGTTGTGGGAAAGATTATGCTACCTCCTTCAGGAACTCCGGAACATGCTCAGGAAACTGACTGAGTCCCTGGTCTTTGAGGCCTTCATCTTCCTTATCGTCTGCCTCAACACCACCATGCTCGTGACCCAGACCTTCGCTGAAGTCGAGGTCCGGGTTGGTAAGGGCCAGGGAACCTTGTTCACGTGGAGAAGGCTACTGATGCTGTTCCAGGCCTCCTGTCGGCCTGGTCTGGTGCCTGGTGATTTATATATCTCAGTTTATTTGATCCTCACCCCTGGGAAGCAGACAACATTGCCCAGTTTTAGAGATGAGGTTCTGACGCATAGCTGAGGTCAACCAGCCAGCCAGAGAGGAAAGGCCCACTGTTTGGGGCTAGAGCCACCAGGTGGCGCATCTGCTCTAAGCATGCTGCTTTGGGCGGTAAGGGTGCCGGGAACCTAGGTCTCCTGGACCCTGGAGGGGCGAGAGTGGAAAACCTGCGAAGGCGGCCCCTGAAACCCTGGGGAGCAGGGTGAAGGGAAGGACATAAACTAAGCAGAGAAGAAGAAGAATGGCTGATGTTTCGTGCGTGCTCACTGGTTCAGGCTCCATTTTAAGCATTTTACTGTGTTAAATACCTTTCACATTCACGAAAACCCTATTAGGCAGACCGTTGTCACTGTTTTACAGACAGAAAACTGAGGCACAGAGCCGTTAGGACGCGCGGCCACTTGCGCAGAGCCAGGCTCTCTCTAAACAGCTGTGTGCGAGGTTCCCATGGGCAGGGGCCGGGGTTGCTGGGGACAGCCCTGAGCAAGCCTCTGGTGTTCTCGCAGAGTGGTTCTTCGAGGCCTTGGACTCCATTTTCCTCAGCATCTACATAGTGGAAGCTATGCTCAAGATCATTGCTATGGGCTTCGAGTATTTTTCTGACTCCTGGAACAATCTGGGTTGGTGGGGATTGGGCATGTGCGTGCGTGTGCGTGTGCGTGTGCATGTGTGTGTATAGTGGGAGCCACTGAACTGCCGGAGGAGGCTGAGGACGAAAGGGGATGGCGGGGTAATGGCTTTGGGGGGCTGTGGGTCTGGGCTAGGGGCCTGGGCAGGAGCCCACCACACTCAGGCACCCTCTGCCCTCAGACTTCTTCATCATGGTCATGGCTGTGCTGGATTTCATGCTCATCCAGCTCAACTCCAACTCCTTTAACAGCGTAGTCTACAAACAAAACGTCTTCCTGATCTTCAAGGTCTTCAAGAGCCTGCGGGCCCTGAGGGCCATCCGGGTCCTGCGGAGGCTCAGGTCAGCTGGGCCACAGCTGCCTACCCCCGTGTGGAGGCTCCGAAGGAAGAGGGGACACAGGCCAGGACTCCCAAGGAGTGTGCCGTGACCCGTTCCAGTGATGAGGGAGGGGGAGGCTGCAGACACCAGCCAGCTTCTGATAAGCTTCCTGCCTGATCTTTCTCTTCATTTACCAGAGAGGGGGCTGGACTCTTCTAAGTCACTAGCCAGTCAGGGACCTCCTGCCTTCAGCATCACCTTTGGTTTCCGGGCACAGATCCCCATCCTGCTGACTCATCCTCCCTCTCCACCTTTGCCCACAGCTTCCTGACCAGCTTCCAGGAAGTGACAGGGACCCTGGTGCGATCCCTGCCGTCCATCACTGCCATCCTCATCCTCATGTTTACCTGCCTCTGTATCCTGTGCCGTGGGGGCTGGGGCAGGAGCCTGCGGGGCTGTGATGGTGGGGAAGCAGGGGGACCAGGGATCATGGCTTGGCCCTGAATGTCCAGTCCTCTTCTCTGTGGTGCTCCGGGCACTATTCCGCCAGTCTGACCCCAAGCGCTTCCAGAACATCTTCACCACCATCTTCACTCTCTTCACCTTGCTCACTCTGGACGACTGGTCTCTCATCTACCTGGACAGCCGGGCTCAGGGTGGGTGGAGAGCAGGGGTGGGCAGACCCTGAGGGCTCAGTTACCCCATCTGCAAAGTGGGGCTTCTGATGCTTGCTGGCAGCGGCATGGGGAAGGCCAGCAAGGAGCTCACGGCTCGAATGACCCCCTCTCTCCTAGGCGCCTGGTACATCATCCCCATTCTTATGATTTACATCATCATCCAGTACTACATCTTCCTCAAGTGAGGACCCCGCCCCCGCTCTGC